GTTGAAACTGTACTTTCGATTTGATTTGAAACTGTCTCATTGCTATATGTTTATCAATAAAACTTTGAAAAGAAAAAAAATGAAAAAAAAAAGAAATACGCTTTCAAAAAATGTGAAAAATGTAGCCTCTCCTCTTCTGAAAATCTGTTCCACACTCTCTATCTGTGTAGATTTCAAAGTCATCTCAGGATAACTATCTAACCTCTAGCCTTTTACTTTGTTTTAGCCTCACAGAGCCATCCTTAGTGTTATAGAGCAGAAGTTAACTTTTTCTGCTCTCTTTGGGTTATAATGTCTTTCCTATTTATCTCAGATTAACCAAAGATCAGATTTTTTTCAGATGCATTTTTAAAGTGTAGATCTAGGAAGTAGCAGAATCAATCTTAAATAAACCTGTTTCCTGGGATAAGAAATCAAATCACCTAAAATTCTCCCCAAACTCTCAAAATCCATGCTATGGAAACTTGCTGTCCAAGTTTGTTTTAAATGGAATTCTGGAGGAATATTTGAAGCAATAATCCAGAAACTAGAAATATGTATATTACTGGCCTTATTGTTAATTTTCTATGTGACTTTGGAAATGTTATACATAGTGATTTTATTTTTTAATTAAAAAGCTTTGATGGCTTTGATTAAATTTTCAGACTTTTAATACTAGAATCAAATGAGAAGAAACTATTTCACCCAATGCTTTTGTTTTATAAGTGATATCATTGAAACAATTCAAGGTGATTTAATCTAACAAAGATCATACAACTAATAAAGCTATCTGTAAAACAGCTGATAAAAGAGGTAATAGAAGAAGGGGAAATGATCATAGTGTGTTCTCATTTTTTGTGTTGGCGGAACCAGGAATTGAACTCAGGCCCTTGTGCTTGCCAGGGAAGCACTTATTCCACTGAGCCATCTCCCTGGCCAATCATAGTGTGTTGTATGAATTTAGAAATTGGCTAGGAAAAGCTGGATGTGGTTGCATATGCTTGCAATCCCAGAACTCAGGATGCAAAGGCAGCAGGATCATTGTGAGTTTAAGACCAGCCTGGGCTACAAAGTGAGCTCAAGGCCAGTGTGAATTTCCTAACAAGACCCTGCCCCCAAAGACAAGCAAATTAAAATAAGTGAACATTGCAAAATAGAAACCAATTTTCTATATAACATATAGTAATATGATTTTTTTTAAAAATCCCGTGGGTTTCTATGGGAAGAGAACAGTTCTTGGGTTTAGAAGAATTAATAAAGTCTCAGATCAGTTCTGATGAAAGTCACTGAGGAGAATGGCTAGACAGAGTAGGAGTTGGGAGGAGGAAGCTGGCATGTGATTCCTTGCTGTCCTGTTTTCCTGATAGTAATTGCTTGTTGAGGATGTCCTCGGTACGGAGCCAGCTACCTGCAGTGGCCCAGAGTTATCAACACACCTGGCGAGTGTTCACAGCTGACTCCAACAGGCCGTGCTTCCTGAGCAGATTCTGCACATCAGCCAGGCCTCTTCCATAGTCCTCAGAGGTGACCTGACTCTGCACCTCATCCAGCCAGCGCTCCAGGTCTTCTGCGGTATTTTCAAATCGTAGCTGCTGATTGGCTTCGTGCAACTGGGTCCCTGGAAAAGCACATGAGGTGTGAGATAGAGAAACCTTCCCTCAGCTGATGAAGGGGCAATAGATTCTTCTGGCATTTTAAGGAAAAAATAAGTTAACTGTCTCCTTATCATCACACACAAAAAGTTATTTGAAATTTGGAAAAGTTTGATGGTATTTGGATTTAAATAGTGCAATATTCTCAAGACAATGAAAATCAATGAATTGTACCTTCCAGTAGAATATAGCTTTACTGTGTCTCATTTTAGCCATGTTAGGAATTTCTGTATGTCATTTCTTACTCCCTACTCAGGCTTTTCTTTGCAAAGGATTCAAATCAAAATGTCATAGTTTCCAGGTGAAGTACAAAGTGCTGGGTTGATTTAGTTTGAAATCTGAAATCACTTTAAGCTCCATTCTCCTTCCTTTTAGTGCCTGTTCATCACAAACCATACCAAGATATTTCTTTTCCATGAAAGATATTATTTACACTACATGGGGATAAATTCTTTATGAGCTACTAGCAATCATCTGTTTTATTTCTGAAAAGCAATTAAATCATCTTCTGATGGTTGGGAATATCAATGGCATTGTCGTGACAAAGATGAATTCAACCTCCCAAAAAACAAAAATATTATGGTAACATCCAAAGTCATCAAAATGACATGTCTCTTCTGTAACCAGACCAGAATAATGTTTACATATAATACTCCTAAGAAGTTTTGTGTTGACAGAGAAAAACAATTATTCCTGCTAATTTATAATAATTCAACTTTATGTTTTGATTACAATTCATGAAGCCAAAAGTTGTACTAAAAACATTACTAAGAAAAGAATGTTAAAATCTACAATGATTATATATGACCTGCTTTACTTGCCAGATTTTGCTTTATCTATTTTAAATTCATGCTATTAGGTGCATACAGATTTAAAATTATCTTATTAGCTAGGCATGGTGGCCCGTTCCTGTAATGCCAAGACCCAAGAGGCTGAGGCAAGAGGATAACCATGAGTTCAAGGCTAGTATGGACTACACAGTGAACTCAAGTTCAGCTTGAACTATACAGTAATACCTGGTCAAAAAATTTTATGTTATTGATAAAGTGAAGCTCTTCTACAGTAATTACGGTGCTTTTAATCTTTCATAGCTTTTTTTGTTCTAATGACTATAGTGGTTTATACCAATTTCTTTGTGATTCTAAAATAAAACAAAAAACTTACACACAAAAAAAAATAATTCATTAATTTTTCAAAGGTAAAAGTAAAATATATGGATTGAGGAGATAGCTTAGTGGTGTAAGTGCCTGCCTGACAAGCACAAGGACATGGGTTCAATCCCTGGTAAAACCAGGCATGGTGGCACATTCCTGTAATCCCAGTGCTGGGTAGGCTGAGACAAGAGGATCACTATGAGTCTATACTGTGTAGGGAGACCCTGTACTAAAGAAATAAAAATTGAAAAAAGTAAAAAATAAAACATAAGTAGGATTATTCAAGCATGCATATGTAACTTTTAAGAGTTTATGGCACAGCATGAAAACTTTTATATAAGTGACAAAAGAAACAAGTGATCAGTCTTTAAGAAGATAACACTAGCTATACATGGCATTGGCCTATAATTCCTGCATCCTGGGAGGCTGAGGCAGGAAGATTTCAAGTGTTGCCAAGACTATGCAATTTAGCTGATTGGTGATATTCTGTATCAAAGCAAGAAATTAAAAAATGGCTGAAAATGTAGCTCAGTCTGAATTTCCCTGGGTTCAATCTGTAGTAAATATATATATATATATATATGGAGGGAAAATAAAATATCATGGCAAAGGACTAGTCAAAAAGCTCAGCAGATTAAAGCACGTGCTTAGGCTGACCCAGAGGCTGGGGGTTTGATCCCTAGCCTGCTGAATCAGACTTGTCCTCATGGCTCACTGAGACTGTGAATGAGATGGGGTATGTGGTGCACACCTGCAATCCTAGTGCTTGGGAGGCTAAAAAGCAGGAAGGATCACTGCAAGTCTGATCTGTGTAGTGAGACCCTATACTGAATACATTTTTAAAAATACCATATCACATCATGTGTAACAAAATAATATTTTCATGTCTAATTTCTTGATGTCCTTCTTTAGTGCCTATATTCACAACTTAGTCAAACTAGGTCTAGTTTATAGAGGTGAAGTATATAAAATCTATTTAATGATATGTAATTCATATTCATAGATATTTTTGAAGAAAAGCAGAAAAGAGGAGTATAGTGAAGAAAACAAAAACTAAATTCTAGATGAAGAAAAGATTTGTTGCTGCACTGTATGATCAATATAAGTTTGATTTGAACCACTGACCAACAGAAGAAAGACACAGGAAAGCGAATGGTGGCATCCCTTCTCACATGGGTCCTCAGGTAAACTGACAACAGTAAAATGAAAGTGGTAGGCTTGGAAATTAGGAGTGAGTACATCTTCAGATTTTTCGAATCTAACCTTTTTGCTTTGTCGCGGCAAGCAGCTCCTCCCAGAGACCTACAACCTCACTGACACGAGCTTTCACATCCTTAGAAGCATAGTGGCCGTCATCCACCATCTTCTGGCCAGTTCTTTTGAGGTCTGTAAGTATGATCTCATTAGCTGCCAATTCCTTTTCAAAGTCTTCCTGCTTTTGAACCCGACTTTTCAAGTTCTGTATATCCTAGATGACAAATAAACAAAAATAATGAAGTGAAGAATGAGAGACAAAGGTTTTGAGGACCAAATATTATTTTCACTATAATTCTAATCGTATTCAGAAGAGGATACAGGGGAGTAGAACCGTTGCCAAACGCTTGGGAAACTCATATGACTAATTGTTCTACATATGTGGAAGAATGGCAAATCAATCCAGAATTTATTGCTACCAAATCTGGACATGGCCTAAGCATCAGATTGAATATACAAAGACTAACCCATGCTGGCACTAATAATCAATCATAGCTATCATGAAAGATATAAAATATTTTGTTTGCTTCTTAGTACACAGACAGTACATTCTCTGGAAATGTAAATGCTAGAGAGAATGCAAACATGTGCTGCCTGGTATCACAGAATGGGTTGAGCAGCTTCTTTCTGCCACAACTTCCACACTGAAGTTTCTACCTGGAGCCAACTGTCTGTGGACTAAAGCATGAGTCAAAGTAAAATCCTCCAAGGATTTGGGTGTCAGATACTGTCTCATCAGTAGGAAACGAAGACCCTTTTCACAAGTATTCACATGACCTGCAACTATGCTTACCTTGTAATCTTTGTCATCTGCCAACGTTTTTTTCTTATTGATCCAATTTTTTAAGTAGTCTGAGTCCTGGTACAGACGTTGCAAGAACAGGGACTCTGTCAGCAGTTTCCGTCTAGTATGAGCTCTTTCACGCAGGGCATCTCTCCGAG